CGTTTATAATAGAAAATTATGTCATAGGCTAAATTCTCTTAGAAAATATAATAAAAGTTGTAGTAGAAAATCATTAAAAAAATAGACATCTATCTAGTAAAAATAGTAATTTTGATTTAGTAGTATTTAATTTGTATTGTATAATATTGATAACTATATTCAAAATAGGTAACAATGTAATAAGTTAATTTTTATTACAAGATATAATTAAAAATCAATAAAATTGTTCTGGTCAAAGTTATTATTCTTGCCAATAAAATGAAGTATACGAATAGTAGATGTCTTATGCTTTTAGACTTTTAGTGTAGAGTGTACATTATAAAGTCTGATCTGATAGGCTCAAAGAAAATCAATGTCAGTGAAAGGTAATACGTTCCGCATAATAGAAAAAAAAAGTATTATAGTTTCTGACATGCACACGAAGAAGTGTTCATTAAAATGTCTAGTATTGGAAACTTTTTTATTTTGTGCAGAGGATAGGGAGAGAAATAAGATAAATGTGACGTCAAATAAAAAAAAATATGATAAATGTGACGTCAAATAAAAAAAATATGATAAATGTGAAACCTTGAATTCAAACTCTGTATTAGCCTATTGGCTTAAACTAAAATGAACATATGGATTAACGTTATACAATCCATATCATTCATCAACAACACCCGTTATTAAATGTATAAACGTAAAGTGAAGTTTTATTGTTTTGTAGGATAGGGGAGAATACAAAGACGCCAAGACAAAACAGCAAGAAGAAAAAGACAACAAAGCACCATGAGATCGACGAAAGAAGAGAAGCAACAATGGAGGAAAACACATTAACAATATATTTGGATCATGGATCAGTTCTTGCGAAGCACGATGAGGTACTGCATTCCGGGTTTGGCATTCTGGAGGCGAGAAATCTCTTCGCGCGCCTTGACTTCGACAAGCTCAAAGGCTTTCCTCATGACTTCGGTTCCAAAATGTGCGGAAATGAAAGCTCCATAGAAGGCCTTGAAGGAGATGGCCAATATCTTGGGGTCTAGCGGAAACTCTCCGTTAGAGTGAATGATATCCTCAAAAGCCTCAATAGTGAACTTCCCATTCTCCTCAATGATTTGCCTCAACTCGCCTTGTTCTGCAAAGTAGATTGATGTTTTGAAAGTGTCCACCTTGTCTTGCTCGGTAACACCCTTTTTTAAATAAAAGAAAACCAATTTTAAAAAATGATAATGTTAGTAAGTATACATATGTTATTGTAGATAATAGAATATGAACTCTATAAATTAATACTTCAATAAACTAATATACAAATTAACAAAATATTAAAGTTTTGACGTTATATATTAATATATAGAGATTTTACTGTACTTTAAAGATCAAATTATGTACCTGTTGAACAAGTTCACTAAGAGATTCTCCGATAAAATCCATTACTATTCCTTTAGGAGTCTCAGACATCTTAACTCCGTCTCTTAGACACGATCCTAAAAGCAACATCAATCCCCCGAGCACAAGCTCTTCAGCTCTAGCATCCAAAAGATTCTTGGTGTCGATAGAGTACTGATCAAGATACGCTTTCTTGACTGTTGGATTGAACCCGGTGCACTGCATGTCTTTGTTCCACAAGGGAGAGTCGCGGTCCATGATCCCTTTGGGGATTTTGGAGGTGAAATGGAATGCGTAACTCATGACTCCGATGTGAAAACTCTGCTTAGGAAGAACACGGCCGAAGAAGGAACCAGGAACCCCGACGCTATAGTATCTTCTCCCCGGAGGAAGTGTCTGGAAGAGAGTGTTGAAATCGTTGAGGCTAAAGTCGTTGAAGAGGACTTGGAACTCGATGTTATCTGCGGGGTTTTGTCCGGCTTCTCTACTGTACTTTTCTTCTACCGCATCTATTATGTTCTGGACTGCCACAAAAGTGTTAGGTCCACTCGCGCAACCGAAATCTGCTACACTGAACCGGTTCGAAATCAAATCAAGGCTGAGGTTCGTTGAGATCGCCTCGGTTATCTTGTCCTTTGCCGCTTCCAGCAACGCTCTCTGTATAAAGAGGAGACTGTTAGATACATATATACATCTTAGGAATTCATAACCTAGCTAACTAGGAATGCAAATCATTTATATTTAAACCTGATACGATGACTGTTGGTTGTAACTCTCAGGACCTTCCCCACCAATCATGATCCAATCTGGAGTAGTAGTCATGATATCTCTCTTTTCTTGTTTGATACTATAAGTTGTGATGAGAGTAGTGATAATTCATGGACCTCTCTATGCTTATTTATAGTAATATTCCTTGTGCCATGGACCGGTCACGATATTCCTTTTGCTTAAAATAGTAATATAATGAGAATTAATTCAATATCTTGAAATTCGTTCCAAACAAAAAATGCAGCTTGTTAATATAAAATTAAATGGTTCAACACAAACATGCAGCTTGTTAATATAAAATTAAATGGTTCAACACAAACATGATTCATGACAAAATTATATAACTCACGGTATGGTGTGGCATGTATCGAATAATCAATTAGATTATGATATGAGTAAAAAAATTATATTATCACACTCAGATTTTAAAACATAAATAAAATTTGCAAACGGTAGTATAAGATTAAGAATGAAATCCTTGAAAACATATAATTAAGCCTGAAAAAGGTACACTAATTCTTAAATCGTACAAATAAAGAAACTACATATATAAATTGAACTATTTGACCAAGGTTAAATTTTACCAACAAAGGAAAAAACATTTGACCAAAAGAAAGAAGTATTAGTAGGAGTCTAGGAGATTGATCAATGTAACCGTCAAAGAAGATTTAGAAATTAGAATAGACTGCTCAAAATGAAATAAATTCAGATTGAGTAGGAGTCTAGGAGATTTGTCCATGTAACCCAAGTTATGTATATAGTTATAATTTTCTTATAGAAATTTTTGTATTTTAGTCGGGGTAATGTTCGACCACTCCACTTGCACGTGCTAAAAGACGGCTCTGCATATCATGATGAGAAGATTTATTCGAAGTAAAATAATAGGAATCTATCGTTAAAGGAGGGAGACAGGGCATCTCCAATGGAACTCCACAATACCAAATTTGGTACTAAAACCTCTTCAATAGAACTCCAAAACACCAAATTTTTAGTGTTATGAATAGTGTTACACCATATTTGGTGTGACACTATTCATCACACTAAACATTAAAATATTATT